TTTTTTTTTGACATTTCAACAAGTTCCTCCTCAGTGTATCTACACAATGTTTTAAGCGTAGTCATTTTGTAGACTAAGTCATCGATTTTGCTACTGTAAACTTAGTTTTGAACTTCTGTGAATATAATTTTTAAAACAAAAAGAAGCTAACGGTTTTAAGAAAATGTATTTTCAATAAAACAAATCAAAATAAATGGCGCAGTGTATTTCAAGCCAGAAAAGAGAAGGAAAGAACTGAGACTAAAGAAAAAATAAGAAAGAATTATTATTATTATTTACATTTATTACTTACTTAGTGCGTTGTAAATAAAAAATAATAATTTTTGTTGTTTTAATTTCTGTAATTTACAGCTTTTTAAAATGGCTTTTAAAGCAGGTTTTTGTTTCTTTTTTTTTTTCTTTCTCTGAAACTAAAACAAATAATAATGAATAATAATAAGTATGCATTAGTTCAATTCAATTTTTGACTAGCAAAGAAAATATTGTTAAAAAAAGTTTTCAAGAAAAATTGTAAAAGTAAAAGTTAAAAAAGTGTTGGTAAGCAACTAAGGGTTTCTAATTTTTACAGTAGTGATTTTTTTTTTTTGGTGTAAAATACAGTAAAAGTTGCGGTTTTTTTAAGGGAACAGTTCAGGAAATACAAAGAGTATAGAGCCAATTTTTTTTTTGGCAGTAATTTTTTTGCCCATTTTAAGTGTTCTTAGTTAGAGATAAAATGTAGTTTAGTGGTCTTTCGTGGTCTAAAATAGCCTTTCTTAGTTTAAACATTTGCAACTAAAATAGTCAACGGCTATCAAATTTACCGTCTGCTTTTGCTCAGTTATTCTTTTTGATTATAATTCGTCAGTTTAATATTCTATAAACAAAATTTGTACAATTTTATTTCAATGAAACCTCGACGGTTATAACCGTTTTGCATAAAATGAGAGCTTTTTCAACTAGACAAATGAAGAATTTATGAGCAAAAACTAACTCTCTAAACAGTATTCACTAAATAAATATTACAAATTTGAATCTATTCTTTTTACATCTTTTTAGTCAA